GGGCTGTGTGCGATTTTGCGAGTGTGGTAAAATCGCATAACAGCAAAATCGCATAACAGCCGAGCATACACCCAGCAGCGCTGCTGATGCCTGAATGGTATGTGGAATGAAGTGGGCGGGCATCGGGAGGCCACTATGGCACGGGGCAAGCACTATGGGCAGTCTATCTGAAGTATACCTGGCGTATAAGACGACCCCCCACTTGGAGGCATATTTTTCAGGGCCAAAAAATCGTCTTATACGCCGGCAAATACGGTAGATGTCATCTGTCAAATGATTTTTCTGCATTTTTTATATGATCATATGATTTTGTTATCTTTTATTTTGTTAATGTGTATCACATGCTTCAATTTGCATATGCTGAACCATCCTTGTGCCCCTGGTTGAACCACAATTAATTGTGATTTATTATCTTTTTAATGTATTGCTGTATTTGATATAATATATTCATCAGAGATATTGGTCTGAAATTTTCTTTTATTGAGTTGTCCTGCCAGGTTTTGGTATGAGGGTAATATTGACCTCATAAAATGAGTTAGAAGTATTGCCTCTCTTTAATTATTTGGGAGAGTTTGAGAAGGATAGGTATTAAATCTTCTTTGACTGTTTGGTAGAATTCACTAGTGAAGCCACATGGTCTTGGACCATTATGGGACACCTTAATGAATGTTTCAATTTCTTTACTGTTGATTGGTCTGTTTAGATTTTCCAGTTCTTCATGGTTCAGTCTAGGAAGGTTATATATTTCTAAGAACTTGTCCATTTCTTCTAGGTTATCAAATTTGGTGGCATATAGCCTTCCATAGTATTCTTGTATAGTCCTTTTTATTTCTGTGGTGTCTGTTGTAACTTCTCTTTTTTATTTCTGATTTTGTTTATTTAAGTCTTTTCTCTATTTTTCCTTAGTCTAGCTAGAGTTTTTCAATTTTATTAATATTTGCAAAGAAACAGCTTGAGAAATGAAGGGGGAAGTGAATGGTCTAAACGAGGCTTTTCCTTATGTAGATATATTGAGTTCATTTACTTATACAGACATGAAAGAATGCAGAGCTAAGCAAATTAAGGAATGTAATATGTTCTGTGTTTCTCAAATAATTAGCTAATAAAGTTAGTTTTGCCTGCTTGTATTGACATAGTTTAATTAGTACTAAAACTATTGCTGACTGATTTTCCTGTTTCAATAATTCTAGATTATTTTTTTCCCTTGGGCCCTCATTTTTTATTATCTGGCTGGTATAAAAAATAAATTCGCCTTCTAAAATCAAGGAACCATTAGGAAAAATGTAAAAATTTTAATAAAGAAAAATAAAAGTAGTTTTCCTCTATCTGTGCCTTATTGAGCATGATCATTTTCACTGTGTTTTCCAGGTGTACCAGGTGTCAAAGAAGAACGTTTTAAAGAAGGAATGACAGTAAAGCACTGTGCATTGTCCCTTGTGGGAGAACCCATCATGTACCCAGAAATCAACAGGTTTTTGAAGCTACTCCATGAGTGTAAAATCTCCAGTTTCCTGGTCACAAATGCACAATTCCCTGTGGAAATCAGGTGAGTGACCCAGCTTATTACGATATGCTGCTTGAACCGGTAAACAGATGCTTAGGTTGTTTCCTTGTCTTGGCTGTTATGAATAATGATGTCTTGAAGTTTGGGGTGCATATATCTCTTGAAGATACTGATTTCATTTCCTTAGGATATATACCCAAAAGTGGGATTGCTGGATCATATGGTAGTTCTATTTTTAATTTTTTGAAGATCTTATATATTTTGGATATTGATTTGCAAATTTTTTTCCATTCTGTAGGTTTCCTTTTCATTTTGTTGACTATGTCTTTTGCTGTGCAGAAGCTTTTTAGTTTGATATGGTTCCACTTTATTTTTGCTTTGGTTGCTTGCACTTTTGGTGTCATATCCAAAACATTGTTGCCAAGACCAAAATGTCAAGCTTTTACCCTGTGTTTTCTTCTAGGATTTTTACAGTTTTAGATATTATATTTAAGTTTTTCACTCATTTTGACTTAGTTTTTCTGAGTGGTGTAATATAGGGGTCCAATATAATTTTTCTTCCCATGTGAATATTCAGTTGTCCCAGCATCATTTATGGAAGAGACTGTCCTTTCCACATTGAGAATTCTTGGCTCCCTTGTTAAATATGAGTTGACCATATATGATGGGTTTATTTTTTGGACTCTCGATTCCTTCCATAAACATATGTGGGTGTTTGTTTGTTTTTGTTTTTAATGCCAGTATCCTATTGTTTTGAATACTATAGCTTTGTAGTATAGTTTGAAATCAGGAAGTATAATGCCTCCAGCTTTGTTCTTTCTCAGGATTACTTTGGCTATTCAACATTTTTTATAGTTCTATATGAATTTTAAGATTGTTATTTCTATTTCTGTAAAAAGTTGTCATTGGAATTTTGATAGGGATTTTATTGAATCTATAGATGGCTTTGGGTATTATGGACATTTTAACGATATTAATTTTTCTGATCTGTGAACATGGAATATCTTCCCATCTATTTGTGTCTTCAATTTCTTTCATCAATGTTGAGACGTTCTTGAAACTAAAATACTGACATACTTTTTAAGGCCCCATTTCTGGAGGCTGATTCAGTCTTGGGAGAGGCCCAAGAACTTGCATTTCATGTGCTTCCTTTTTAAAAAAAATATATATTATTTATTTATTTATTTATCCTCACCTGAGTATATTTTTCCCATTGCTTTTCAGCATCCGTGTGAGAGAGACACATCGACTGGTTGCTTCCCGCACATGCCCCGACAGGAGGCAGGAGCGAATCCGCATCCCAAGTAATTACCCTTGACTGGGAATTGAACCCAAGACCCTTTGGTGTGCAGGCCAACACTCTCATCATTGAGCCATACTGGCCAGGGCTCCATGTGCTGCTGATCCAGTTGGCCCTGAGCACACTTAGAGATATACTGCTGTGAGGCTTGAAATACTACTTTTGGGTTTCTGTGATGAGAGGCTCGAGCTGCACTGCCTATGGTCTGGCCATTTTGATGGAGGCATTCTGGCATAGGGCTAGGAACACAGGCTCTGGAGTACTTCTAGGCTTGAATCTTGTTGTTGAAATTATTAAATACAAGATTATCCACATTTTTTGTGTGGATCCTTGAACAAGCTCCTTAATCTCTTTGAACCTTAGTTTTATCATCTCTAAAATGGGCATTAGTAGCAACTACCTTGTTTATTATGAGGATTCAATGAACTGAACAAGAAAGGTCAAACATAGCACAGTGCACTCAGTACATGATGAGTGCTCAGTAAATCTTCTCCTTCTCTTTTCCTCCCAAATTATTTGGCCTGATGTGACAGCTCCCGATTGTCTTAGGGATTCTGGTATTGAAAGTTTAGGCCATTTTGGGAATTTTTTTTTTTTTGTCCAATAGGGTCAACAAACTTACTATTTAATCCGCTTGACTTCTTACAAACATAAATTCCTCTCCCTTTTTTCCTTTCTTTAGAAATTAGTAGGCCTACATCTCTATAGGAAAAAGAAAGGGAGAGGGATTTTTATGTTCAATTACAATGCATTTCATATATGATCATTCTCAACTCGGATTTAAAACTAGCAGGATGAAGAGTCATCACAATAATCATATCACAGTTCATTGGGCATTATCACTGGCTATCGGGCTTAGGATTGTATTGATATAGTCCTTTTTATTGTTCTGAGCAGTGATGTGAGATTCTCAGGCACAGCAATTATTTTGATGATTTTAAGGATAAAACATGTTTTGCTTTTGGGGAATTAAAATGATGCTGTCTCTGTATAGAATGGACAAATGACCATGTTGGGAGCCCAATTCCTTTCCTGGGGAATAGAGGCCCATACGAGGCAAACATTAGATCCCTGAGTTCAGAAAAATTTTCCAACGTACTTTTACTGCCTTTGAATGAGTTATAATTCCCAGGGACGTTCCCTCTTCTCCATTCTTTCTCTGCTCCCTGGTAAGAAATCTGTAGACTTCCTTCATTATAGCACCTCAGACATTTAGTATTGACAAAGTCCCTTATTGGTACTGTCAGTGTCCAGGCTTCCTTTTTTTGCAAATGATGGAGGTTTGTAAAATAACCATGGCCTTTGGGATTTACTGTTCATGACCTTAAGTAGTTATGGAGGCATAGTGAAGAGGTCAGGCCAGTTCCTACTTGGCATCAGACAGCTTTATAACAACGTCTCATAAGCATCAGATAATGATAACCCAATAGTATCCGTTAAAATAGTCTTTATTTTTATTTTTTGTGGAACATAAAGTACCGTTAAGGTAGCATAGCTTATTTGTTGTTAAAGAGGTGCCAGCAAAATAGTGATGAGACAGGATGCTGCCATTACATATGCTATTGTTTCGCATTTTTAGTAATTGATATCTTTGCACTGTAGTGACACATTCCTGAACTTTTAAGGATTCCCTTTGTATCTCAATGCTGAAGGGGGATTAAAGCAATGAGAGTCTGCCAATATTTTAATCACTTCTTTCCTAACTTTGCTGAGAGCTTCTCCACCTTTAATGAGACTTTTCTGATTTTTCCATATATCAATAAGCCAGATCATTGCAATCATTTGTTTGGCCTACATGCCCTTAAAAGTTCTGTCAGCTGAAGTCAACTAAAAGGTAGCTTTCAGTGTCTGCCTATATGGCTGGATAAAAAGAAAAATATAGTTCCTATCCTTCAAGGTCTTATACTCAGAGATTGATAAGGCTGGTACTGATAGAAATAAAAAGCACATAAACCATTTTGATGGTGAATTTTATGGCATGTGAATTATATTTCAGTTTTTAAAAATGCATAGATTTTGAAACAAAAATGCATAAGTAACATTCTAGTGGTAAATACAAATTGTAGAATAGTAATAGAAAATGAATAGTGGAAGGATTTGGTCATAGGATTATTAAGGGGGATTTCCTTCTTTCTAGGTCTAAATTTATTGAAGAGAATGAATTATGAGGCCCATTTGAAGAGAGAACAGAAAGACTTTGGAAAAAGTACAATCTGGGCTTAAAACAAAACTGGCAAGAAATCTAATAGATAAGAATGACATTATGAAATGAATGAGTCCTTTGTAAGTGCTTGGTTGCTGTTCTAGCTCTGCATTGCTTAAAGCTCCCGGAATAGACATTGCCCACGCAAGCTTGGCTTTGAACCCAATTCTGCCCTTAGGCATAGGTGAGCCATTGTGTGGTTTTTCTGCCCTTTAAAGAAGGCTTGGGCTTTTGGGGTTGTTTCTTGTTTCTTAGAAAACTTCCATGAGTGAATTGATGATGGAAGGTGGTCCATCAGCACAGACCCCACATGGTTGTGAGATTTCAACTGTGTAAGCTTTGACTAAGCCAGATCTTGTTTTGTGTACTTTCCGCTAATACTTAGTGTTTGAAGAAGGGCCAGTTTTAAGTAATTGAATGTTTTCAGTTTATTAGGGATGGTGACCAGTCATTTAAAAAAAAAAATCAACATCCCATTCAATCACATGATTAAAATCCTTGTTTCATTCTTCTGGGAGAAGTAGAAGCCTCGACCCAGTGAAATGTTTAATAGCCACATCTATTACAGATTGTAATTTTACTACATCATGAAAAGCCTGAAATAGGCATAACACTATTTTTTTATTGTTGTGTTTATTGTTTTTAATTTTAAACTACCAAGGAATCTCAAACCGGTTACCCAGCTATACGTCAGCGTGGATGCCAGCACCAAAGACAGCCTGAAGAAAATTGACCGCCCACTCTTCAAGGACTTCTGGCAAAGATTCCTGGACAGTTTGAAAGCCTTGGCAGCAAAGGTAAAAATTATGACATCTTTAAAAGAAAATAAAATGAAGTAGGTTTTTTTTCTTTTTTGTTTTAAAAAAAAAGACTAAATAAAATCTTCCACTTTTATTGTTTAACAAATATTTGAGTTCTTAAGTTTGTAGTATATATGTCCTTCCTGTATTGGGGGAGAGAATAGTAGTTCATAGAAACCCTAGAAGAGGTGTCAGCATATAGTATATGTTTGGTTTTTTAAAAATATATTTTTATTGATTTCAGAGAGGAAGGGGGAGAGAGAGAGAGATAGAAACATCAATGATGAGAGAGGACCATTGACTGGCTGCCTCCTGCATGCCCCCTAATGGGGATCGAACCCGCAACCCGGGCATGTGCCCTTGGCCAGAATCAAACTCAGACCTTTCAGTCCGCAGGCCGACACTCTATCAGCTGAGCCAAACTGGCTAGAGTAGCATATAGTATATGTTTAAATATGAAGTTAATTTTCCTGAATTTGTAGAACCAAGTTTCCTATCTGATCAGGATCTCAACCTCAGAATATCTGAATGTGATGTCTTTTTCTACAGACATTTGGCCCTTCTTACGTATTGTGTTTTCCTATAGCAGTGATGGCGAACCTATGACACCTCTGACACGCGAACTCATTTTTTTGGTTGATTTTTCTTTGTTAAATGGTATTTAAATATATAAAATAAATATCAAAAATACAAGCCTTTGTTTTACTATGTTTGCAAATATCAAAAAATTTCTATATGTGACATGGCACCAGAGTTAAGTTAGGGTTTTTCAAAATGCTGACATGCCAAGCTCAAAAGGTTCACCATCACTGTCCTATGGTGTACTTACTTTCCTATTTGTTTAGACCTTAAGTAAACTTCTGGTTCTTCTTTTCCATTAACCTCACATCTCAGTAGTTTGTATTTTCTGTTAGTTCTACCTCTTTGGTTTGATCCTGCAGTTTGTCATACTGTACTAAAATCTGACTGAAAGTAAGAATTACTGTCGAGGCTTAAAAAAATTAAAATTTTTTGTTTCTACTAGGATTTGATAATCTGCATTTCCAACAACTCAGGCGACTCAATATGCAGCCAGTTATGGGAGTCACTGACCCAGAAAACCTTCCTTTCTCTCCTCTGCCAAGCATGCATTTCCAGAGGCATTGTTCATGACATTCCCCAAGAGTGCTGCACTTCCTGCTTATGTTGTCATCCCTGAGAATGTGCCCAGCAGTCTTTCAGAGCCTAGAATGTTCTTTCTTTCCAATACTTTGATTTGTAGAAATTTTTGCAACCTTCAAGTGTCAGCTTCATTACTACCTCTACCATGTGAAGCCTTTTCCAGTTGCAATTAACTGCCCCTTTCTCTCTTCCTGAGTTTTATATCTATAAAAACACTTCATTTCTTCTGTTTTATTCTGTCTTCTTTCCCCAACTAGATTAGTTACTCATGTCTGAGTCTCACATGATGTCTAGCACAGCGTATTTTATGGTATTTAAGAAATGTTTTTTAAATGAGTGAATTTGTGGAAACTCACCAGAGCTGATTAAATTTTTTTTCCAATTTTATGCTGGAGAATTTAAGTCAATGCTTTTTTTGGGCAATCAATAGTGACATTATTTAAGAAATGCAAAACTGGCATTACTTTGGTTTCTAATCTGTCTTAGGTTATTTATAAAGCTAGTAGTTCTGGTGCTTCTTGGGTTCCTAAAATTTCTGTCTTTGGACTTTACCTTCAGCCATATTCTCTTCACTTGTTGCTGAGACAGCAAGTAGGAGATACATAGCATGAAAGTCAGAATGGATTTAGGTGGGAGTAAACAGCAGGAGCTGGCAATGTCAGACACATCTAAGACTGTTATTTAACTGTATTCTGAGTCAGTGTTGGAAGGTGAGGAGGAGGCATTAGTAGGTAAAATGGCTTAATAGCTTGTTTTTTCTCCTTTGGCCATATTTCCCACAAAGTGAATTCTTTTCCTGAAGTTATAAGCCTTTATATGTCAACTCAAGTGTTCTGGGTTGACTCACTGATAGTAAGCAATAATTTGAAATTTTACAGTATTTTCTAACCTATGAGCTTCTTATGTATTATTATTGTGTCTATGTAATTTAGGCTATTTAAACTGCCTGCAGATTAGGGCATTTTGTAACAAGAGTTTATATTTCTCATACTTGTATTGTCTTTGTTGTCATTTAAGAAAGATTTATGGCAGGAAGTTGCTCTTTAAATGAAAAGTTGTCTTGAAATTAGTTTAAGTGATGTTACTGCCTTTTATAAAAATATATATTTTTTATTGATTTCAGAGAGGAAGGGAGAGAAAGAGAGCGAGATAGAAACATCAATAATAAGAGAGAATCATTGATTGCCTGCCTCCTACATGTCCCCTACTGGGGATTAAACTTGCAACCCGATCATGTGCCTTGACTGGGAATCGAACCATGACCTCCTGGTTCATAGGTCAACGCTCAGCCACTAAGCCACATCGGCTGGGCTGTTATTGCCTTTTGAATATTTGATATTATTGGTATAGTACAGTGGTCGTCAAACTGTGGCTCGCGAGCCACATGTGGCTCTTGGGCCCTTTGAGTGTGGCTCTTCCACAAAATACCATGTGCGGGCGCACATGTACAGTGTGATCGAAGCTTCATGGCCCATGCACAGAAGTCGGTATTTTGTGGAAGAGCCACACTCAAGGGGCCAAACAGCCGCATGTGGCTTGTGAGCTGCAGTTTGCTGACCACTGGTATAATAGATACTATCACAAAAGATCTGTTTTACTGTTGTTTAACACTTAAAAATAAAACTTGTATGCTATAACTATATTAGGTAGGTCAAACATATTACTAATATAATCTGATATTTCATTTTTTTAAAAAAAGTGCTGTTCCAGATACTTTGATTAGAACATCTATACTGTTTTGTTACTTGTTTAGTCGTTTCGTATACCTGAGCAAGGAGAGGCATTTGAAGAGAATTTCTTGAACTTTATAAAGAAAGAATTTTGATTTGCCTCAAATGTATTTATGAGCTAGTGCAACCCAAAGTAGAAGGTAGCATTTTTTGTGTTTTTACTCGTAGAAAATATGATGTTTATTTTTCCAGATCTTTATCCTTTGTCAAAATGTTTCTTTTCAAATATGAGGCCAGAAATCTATTGGTACTTGAGTATGTGGGGCTAAAAAGCAATTCCTTCTAGATAACAGCAAAAAAAATGTGTTAGCTTTAATTTCCGTTCACAACAGCTATTTGTCATACAGTTCTGTTTTTAAAAAAGAGAAATCCATCTTGTACAAGACAACACTGCCTACCTTTGCCAGTAGACTTTTATCAGCAGTGTGACCAGATGTGTTTCTGCCTTTGAATAAGTTATAATTCTCAATGGGTTGGCCCATTATTAGGCCAAATTGAAGATCTAGTAGGAAATTGAAGTAATTAATCCTTTTTCATGTTTAAGCAATAAAATCAATATTCTTAAAATCTAATTTTTGAAAATAAAAAAAGACAAAAATAATTCCCTGTCTTATACACGCTTGGATATCAAAACTGAACATTAGTCCTCTTTCTACAGATGTGAGCATGCTCTGATCTGACATTATTGGAGTAACGTGCCATTGTTGTATATTAATGAGATCGCTCTGTATCTAATATTTCAATAGACCAATGTATCCATGTGGCTCACAATTTTCAGATTAAAAAAAACATTTACTATTAAACCGTATTATAAAAATATCTGTATATATAAAAGGCTAATATGCTAAATATCCGACCATTCGACCATTCTACCGGTAGCTATGACACGCACTGACCACCGGGGGGCAGACGCTCAAAGCACAGGCATAGGAACATGGAACAGACTGATGAATCTCAGGGGGAAGGGGGGGGGGAACAGGAAGAGATTAACCAAAGATCTTATATGCATTCTAGAGGCCCAGTGCATGGATTCATACACCAGTGGGGTCCCTCAGCCTGGCCTGCGGGGATCAGGCCGAATCCATGCACCGGGCCTCCAACATTCCCCTGGATTGTGAGGGGGTGCAGGCCAGGTTGAGGGACACCACTGGTGTATGAATTGATGCACCAGGCCTCTAGTTCTGATTATAAAAATATTACATGTTCATTATAGAAACTTTGGGGAAGTAAAGAGAAATGTAAAGGAGCAAGGAAAGAAATTACCTATAATTCAAGGACCTTGAGACATTTTGAAGTAATATTTAATCCTTTTTTGGAGGTAATGAGGACAGGAGTGCTTTCTTATATATGATTCAATTTTATATGCTTCTTATTTTTGTTAATGTTGGGACATAAGCATTTTATCATGCTATTAAAATTTCTCCATTACCTTCATGTTAAAGATAGCTTAATCTTTCATCTTAGTCACTGTGAGATATGTGTGTGTGTGTGTGTGTGTGTGTGTGTGTGTCTGCCCCTCTGGTTCCTAACACAGAGCCACTAAGACCCTTGTAAATTTCTAAGTGATGAGAGTACCAGGAGCATCTTTTGTTTCAATGAGGTAGCTCTGGATGGGCTCCTATATGTTTGTTGGATGGGGATCGGTCACCAGAAAGACCAAGCCAAGATGAGAAGCTTGAAATTTTCAGTCTCCCCTTCCCCACTTCCCTAGAGAGAGGAGAGTGGTTGGAAATTTAAGTTAATGATCCATCATGCCTACATGGTGAAGTCTCCATAAAACTCCCAAGGATTCAGGCAGCTTCTGGGCTGCTGAACATACAGAGGTGCTGGGAAGGGGCATGGAAGCTCCTCAGACCTTGCCACATGTATACCTTGCCCTATACATCTCATCCATCTGGATGTTAATCTGTACCCTTTATCATATTCTTTTATAATGAACTGATAGACAGTAAGTAAACTGTTTACTTGAATTCTGTGAGCCACTCTAGCAAATTAATTGAAGCCAAGGTGAGGATTGTGGGAACCTCCAGCTGATCAGCTTCTGCACAGGTGACAACCTGGACTTGTAATTGTCATCTAAAGTGCGGTGGGAGCAGTCTTGTGGAC